TTTCGTCACCCAATCACCTGGAGCGTGGCAGAAGCAGAGAAATTGGAGCTGGGCCGGGCTGGCCCAGATCTCAGGTCCATCCCCTACAAGGCTCTGGGGGCCTGCGAGCTGGTATCACCAGTGCTGGTGGCGTCACCCTCTCCAAGCCGGGCCAGGCTTTCCTCCCCTCCTCTCCTAGGAATTAAGTTTCCCAGACTCTAGGCTTCCAGCTCCCCTATTGTCCTCTCCAGGTCTGAAGCATTTGTACCAAGATTAGACGCCAAGGAGCCTTCACTCTGGCCCTCCTCCTGAGCTCATGTCCACCTGAGGCAATTTTTATCTTCACACTGAACTTCTGTTTTCAGAGGCCTCTTTACTGAGTCCCAGAGAGGGGAAGGGAGCTGCTTAAAGTCACACAGCACATTGGAAACAAAGCAGGAACTGGGGTAGAGACCTCAGAGCAACTAGCTCAGACCCTATCAGTCACTATCTAATCAATTCAATTCAATAAACATTTATTAAGCGACCACTATGTGCCAGACACTGTGATAAGTGCTGGAAATATCAAAAGAAGTCAAAGGCAGTCCCTGCCCTCAAGGGGCTTGCAATCTATTGTGTCTTATAAGCATTTATTAAATACCTTTTATGTACTAGGCTCTATGCTTGGTCCTAAGTATGCAAAGATGAGAAATGACATATTCCCTGCCCTCCAAGAGCTTACAGTCTAGGACAGGGGACATGAGATATACATAAATAATACAGATAAGGTAGTGTGGAATGAAGACAAAAGCAAGATCTACTTAAAGTGCTCTAGGAAAACTGAAGAAGGGAGAGATCACTTTCAAAACTGGGGGATTCCAGAATCCCCGAGTGCAAAGGGACTTCAGAGGTCCTCAGCACCAAACCAAACCTGGCCAAGAATCCTCGCCACAACATACTTGCCAAGGGGTCATTCACTTTACTTTTACAGACCGCCAATGATGGGGAACTCACTACTTCCTGGAGCACTTTTAGACAGCTCTGTTTGTTGGTAAGTTTTTCCTAACCTAAGGTTGTGAAGGGTGTAACTTCTGCCCCTGCTCCCAGTTTTGCCCTCTAGAGCCAACCAGGATTTGGCTAATCCCTCTTTTACATGAGGGATTGGGACTGGACCTTCTGCTATTTCACTGGCATAGGGAACTCCCAGGAGAGGAAGCTCCCTCTACCAAGGCAAGGCAGCCCCTTCTTGGCAACTGATGGTCTTGGAGAGTTGCCTAGAGAACTGAGAGGTTCAGATTACACAGCCAGGATGTGTCAGAGTGAGACTTGAACCCAGCTCTTCCTGGCTTAGAGGCCAGCTCTGTCCATTCCACTCCTGCTTTCTCCATGACAGCCCTTCAAAGATTTGAGGATAGCCATCACGCCTCTCTGACCCTAGTCTTCTCTTCTTCAGGAAAAACATGCCAGTTTATTGGTCTCCCTGCTTCCAGTCTCTCTCCTCTCCAGGATCTATCAGCATCAGCTTCATGAGGAGAGAGCAGCTACAGAACTAGACCAGGAAGGAAGGGCGGCCTTTCTGTAGGGGAGACGAGGAGAGAACGTCTCCCCAGCATGAGGAGGCAGCCTTCACAAGTGTACAGAAATGGGGAGGGCAGGGTGAGTGGGGTGAGATAGGCAACTGCTGGTTTCAATTTCATGGGCATTTATTAGTCACTCACTGCATGCAGAGTCCTGAACTGATAGCAGAGGAGATAACAACGTTTAGGTAAGACACAGGCTCCCTTTAGCAGCTCACAGTCTAGCTGAAAGAGTAGTCAGAGGCTAGCCACTTCTGCTGTGTTGCTGGGTCTGTCTGACCTGGAGCCCTATCCCTACCTCCTTCCTTTACCAGGCTCCCTGGGCTGCAGTAAGCTTCCCAACCCCACCACTAGGCACAGTGAAGCTCCCCATCCCTAGGAAGGCCCACCTTCACACTTCAGCCAAAGTACCCACTCTCTTATCTCCTGCTCTGTGCCAGAACACTGCTGCTTTGTGGTGTCCCATATTCCTTTACCAAACCACTCATCCTGCCCACATAGACACACACACATACACACATATATACATGCAAGATGGATGACAGGATCACAGATGAAGAGCCAAAATTAATCTTAGAGGCCATAGAGCACTGGTCCCACTCCATCATTTTACAGGGGAGCAAATGGAGGCACAGGGGGTGGGAGGTTAAGTGGCTTGGGGAGAGAGAGAAGAGGAGAATAAAGGAGAGGAGGGAGAGAAGATGGGAGGGGAGGGGAAGGGAGGAAAGAGAAGGCGGAGGAAGAGGGGGGGGGGGAGAGAGAGAGAGAGAGAGAGAGAGAGAGAGAGAGAGAGAGAGAGAGAGAGAGAGAGAGAGAGAGAGAGAGAGAGAGAGGGAGAATGTTTATTAAGGGTCAGTTAGTGAGCAAATATCTTTGGTAAGATTCAATCTCAGGTCTGTCCTAATTCCAGGCTTAGGGCTCCATTCACTATGCCCCCTAGCTGCCTCTTTATCTAGAAGAATTGTAATCTCCTGTGTATTTGTTGCCATAAACACTCCCCTCATAAATGACAAAGACAAATAAAAGTTATTGATGCACTAGGGTCAGCCTAGCCTGGTAGGCCTGGCTCCTTTTCTGACCCAGCCCACAGGGCCTGGTTCTCTCCCCCCACAGAGCTCCGAAGAACAGGAGCAGCTGTCTCTGGGAGGCATCACATTCAGACCGGATACCCCCTTTTCTTCCTATCTATGGGATTCCTCATTGGGCAGGATCCTTTCCCCACAGGATTTGTTGAAAAGGTCTTCCCTGTCCCCTACTTCCCCTACCCCTATCCCCCAGGACAGCGACACTATCTTCCATGTCCATGCAAATCTAGGGGACTGAGTCTGGGAGGGAGAAATGATCTTTGTCCCTCAGATTTCTCCTTTTCAGAGAAAGTCAACCAGACAGTATATGTTTTCCTCCTCAGCTCAAGTCTTCCCAAAGACCATTATAAGGACAGCCTGTGGCATCACTTAGTGAGTTGGGGGAATCTGGAAACTTGGATCTGATTCCTGACCTGGCATTTACCAGCAGTTATCTAACCTCTCCTGGTCTCAGTGTCCTCATCTCTAAAATGAGGATAGCATTATGCTTTACTCCCTCCCTCCCAGGATTGCTGCAAGGAAAGAGTTTAGAAAGCCTTAAAGCACTATGGAAATAGGATTGTTGCTTCTGGACTTCGTGCAAAAGCAGACCTCAGCCCTTCCTTTTGAACCATGGATACCAGTCCCTTCTCTTAGGAAACCTAGATCCGATGTTGCTCTGCTGGAAGCTTTCCATGTAGGGCTCTTGGCCGGCTGCAGAAAAATTTATGGGGCAAGATTTTCTGAGGAAGAAAACCTTGAAAATACGACTCCCCCAACCTAGCCTGAAGCATCCTTCTCCCTCTCCTGCAGCCCCTTGGGGTTTCCCTTTTTAGCCTTCTCTTACAGCTCCTTCTCTGTCTTATAGACAGCTCCCTCCCTCCACCCCACAGCTCACCTCTGTCCTCTAGCTTTCCCTCTTTCCTTCATCTCCTGCCCTTCCTAAGCACTCCCTCCTCTTTTACACCCCTTCCCTAGCTTTTCCCAACAATTCCCTTCTCTCTCCTACAAGCCCTCCTTCCCCCTATAGCTAGGGTAAACTGAGAAAGTTTGAACTAGTAAGGGACCTCAAAGATTTTCCAATCCTTGCAACTGAATTCAATTTCCTACCATGTGCCCGATGCTGTTCTCAGCACTGGGGAAAAAAGAAGCTGAAAAACAATACATTCCTTGCTTTCAAGGAACTTACAATCTAATAGGGTGGCTAGGACATTTTACAAATTGAGAAACTGAGGCCCAGAGAGCAGCAGTGATTTGTACAAGGGCATTAGGGCTGGCCTCTTGTCAGCGGGAAGGGAGCCAAGTCTCCCTACTCTCAGATTAGCGTTCTTTCCACTAGTAAGGGAATGTTTTAACTTCCTGGGGGCCACTCTGAAAGAAGCCTTTACTTTATAGATCCCCCGGGTCCTTGATGAAGCCCTACTTCTTCGTCATCTGAGACAGGAGGTTCTCCCACACATGCTTTCCTCACCCTCCCCATCTCCCAATCACAGGATTAGGGAATGTATCTGAGCTTGCAGGGCTCTTAGGACACAGAACAAAGAAAGTTAGAGCTGGAAGAGAACACTCTGAATCAAGGATTCTTAATTTTTGTGTGTGGCATGGGTCCCGATGGACCCCTTGTTAAAAAAAAAAACCACGAAGAACTACAAAGCAAAAGGTTAGGGAAAATAAGGATTTTTTCCCCCCTTCCAAGTTCACAAACCTCCTGAAATCCTTTCCAGGCTCTGGAACCCCTTGCCTTAGAACACAGGCTGTCAGAGCTGGAAAGAGTCTCAGAACGTAGAACCTTAGATATAGAAGGGACCTTAGAATCTAGAAAGTCGAATGTTGGAAGGGACCTTACGGTTTAGCATTTAGTAGGCCAAGCCTGGGGTAGGTCTTAAAACATGGAACGTTGAAAGTCAAATCTGGAAAGGTTCTTAGGGATCATCTCATTCAACTTGGGCATTTGACAAGTGAAAAAACTGAGGCCGAGTTCCCAAGGTCACAGTGTGTCCCAACAAATCTCCTTTCTGGAAGTCCTATGGGCTTTTCAGGACAGGTTCGCTGCCTCTGTACCCCGACCCCGGGGCCTCCGACTAGAGTGTGGGCAGATGGATTGGTGAGCCAGGGTGCACAGGGAGGTGCTGAGCTCCTGGGGCCCAGGGCGAGCCAGGGAGCCTAGGGAAGGAGAGGGGAAAGAGGGGAGGGAAGGGGAGGCGGTGCGGGCTGAGTGAGCTGTGGCGCTGGAATGAGCCCGGTGGGAGGGGAAGGAGGGGGGGCTGCCCGGACTGGCTCGAGAGCCAGGTTTGCAGGGCGAGCCCCAGCCCACGGCAGGGGCGGGGCGCTCTCCCCTCACGCGCGGCTATAAGAGATCGAGAGGTGCAGCCTGGGCGCTCAGAGAGGGCTCCGGGCTCTGAGAGTGACAGGTGGCTGCCGCCAGCCCAGCCTGCCAGCCGCGCTTTCTCCCTACAGATATCTCGCTCCTGGTCCCGTTCCTGAGTTCGCCATGGTCATCCCTTCTGCCCGCTGGTGCTCCGTGGCGCTCACCCTACTGTTCGTCCTGCACGAAGGTAAGATTCGGTTCCCAGCTCAGCACTCCCACGAGACGCACCGGAGTCTGGGAACCTAGCCCTGCTGCACCCCTCACCCCTGCGCCCTGCGACCCCTCTGCATGGGTCTGCTTCTAGCCATCCCTGGCTGGCCAGAGATTCTCCGTGACTCCGCGCTCAGTGTGTCTCTTTGCCTGTGCGTTTGTCTCTGCATGTCTTTCTGTCTCTGTCTAACCATCGGAAGCTCTCTGTTGCCTCTGCTGCTGCTGCCCGTCGGTGCATCTGTGCCTGTCACTATGCATCTGTCTTAGTCCTTGTGTTGTCCCTGCATCTGTCTCTTTATCTGTCTCTGTATGCCTCTCTCTCTCTCTGCGTGTCTGCGCATCTGTCTCTGTTTGTCTCTGTGCTGTCTCTCTGCATCTGTCCGTCTCTGTGTGTCTCACTCTCTCTTCCTGTCTGTGCATCTGTCTCTCTGTGTCTCTGCATCTGTCCATATGCTTCTTTCTCTGTGTCTACCTGTCTCTGGATGCCTGTGCATCTGTCTGTATTCGCCGGTCTTTCCCTTTGTGTCTGTGCATCTGTCGGTGTGCCTATTCCTCCCGGCAGTTCTCAGTGTCTGGCTCCTTCCTACTCTCTTGCTTGTAATTTCTATCCCACCTCCACCAGCCATAGCTGCCCCTTGCTTTTGTACCAGTGCTAGTGCTTTGATCTCCCTTCATGAGTTAATCTCATGAGGCTGCAACCTAGCCTTCTACCTACTCCCTGGGGACCTTAGCAGCCTGCCACTTGAGTGGCTGGGAGAAGAGACCACCTAGCTTAGCAAGAGGAGTCTGGTTCCTCTTGCATCTTTGTGACCAGTGCACAGACTGGGGGTTGGGGAGGGGGAGAATGCAGCCCTGGGAAGAAGCTGGGGCCACCAGTGATGCAGCATTGGAGCCCCCCAGTTGTATAGAATGAGCTGATCCCGGTCCTGGCTCAGGGTTCTTCTGAGTGCCATGTGTATGCATGAATGCATGTAAAGATGTGTGCCCACAAGTGAGTGGCCAGCCACCCTCCTTGCTCCCGGACCCCCTCATGCATCAGACTTTAGCAATGCCTCCTTTCCTGGGGCTTTTATTGCCTGCTGCCTATTTCCTGGTCTCAGGCATTGCACGGGTGTTTTTCCCCTTCCACTTAATGTTTGGGGCTGTGGCATGAACTTTCTAACTTCCTAGATTATGCAAGGGAGGGCCTTTATAGCCCTGACAGAGCCAGCAAGTAGCTGGCTGTTACGATAAGACCTGCCAGGCAGGCCGGGATGGCCCTAATCCTCTGCAGGGAGGCTCCAGCCCCATTTACATTCCAGGGTTGGCAAAGGGAGGAGCCACCACACCTGACCCATTTCTCCTGGAGAGGCAGCCTGGGTATAGTAGAAACAGTGCTGCATTTGGAGGCAGGTCACTAGTTTGGCAAATAACGGTGGGCAAGGCATTGACTGACCCTACCTAACCTCAGTTTCCTCCTTTGTAAAAAGGGAGAAATAGCACTCCTGCTCCCCAGCCCAGGGGGTGACTATGAGTAAAGCACTTTGTAAACTTCATGGCACCATAGACATGTGAACTGTTCTTCAATCCTCGGTTCGCCTGTGCAGGGAAGGGCCATCTGCCTCAGGGATCCGCGCCTGCCGCAGAAGCCCAAAGCAGCCACTTGCGCATCAAGAGATGTTCCTGCAACAGCTGGCTGGACAAGGAATGCGTCTACTTTTGCCATTTGGACATCATCTGGGTGAACACACCAGGGTAAGTGGGCACCCACAGCAAGCTGGTGAATTTGGACTTGATGCTTTTCTTAACCTGTGTGAGGGTCTCGGGATGGACAGGCTGGAAAGAGCCATGGTCCCCATTGGGAGCTGGTCTTTAGATCAGCCTTGCTTGCCTCCTGGCATATTTTTATTAAAGAAAAAGGCAAAAAGGTCCTGAAATTCAAAGCCCTGGAAAATACTACTGATAACACCAACCCTCACTTCTGTGGCATTTTCTCCTGTGAGATAGATACTGTATGGATTATTATCCCCTACTCTATGGGAAAACTGAGGCTCAGAGAGACTCAAATGGCTATGCAGTCAAAGAATCTGGGTTCCAATTCTGGCTTTGCTACAGGGACAGTGGGCAGACCACTTAACTATTCTGAGCCTCAGTTTCCCCACCTGTAAAATGAAAAGGTTGGACTAGATGAGCTCTAAGGTTCCTTCTAGCTCTAAATATTTGACCCTCTGGTCTTAAATGTCAGAGCTGGGATTAAAACTTGGCTCCTGACTCCAAGCTTGGTTCTTTTTTCTATTTTATCCCACTAAGGAAATAATACTAAGAGACCTGGGATGTGAACCTGCTACTTGCTTGAAGTTTTGACCTTGAGCAAGTCAATTCCTTTTCCTGGGCCACAGTTTAGTGATCTGTAAATAATAATCATAGTTAATAATAATTAATACAATTAATTATATTAACAGTAATAGCTAGCATATATATAGCACTTTGAGGTTTACATAGCACTGCACATATATTATTTCATTTGATCCTCACAACAATCCTGCAAGGTAGATGCTCTTATTATCCCCATTTTTACAGTTGAGGAAACTGAGGCAGACAGTTTAAGTGACTTGCCCAGGGACACACAGCTATAAGTGTCTGAGGCTGGATTTGAACTCAGGTCTTCCTGACTCCAGGTCATCGCTCTATCCACAGTACTATCTAAATAAACAAGATGAACTCTGAGACCCACACCTGCTGGGACAGTCTAGGATTCTACATGGCTTTCTTCATATTTGCAAAAGGCAGTCTTTGCCATCTGACCAAAAAGAAGCTTTTAGCTTCCACATAGTTAGAAGTTTAATCTCAGTCAAAAACCCTCTCTCTACTTCTGGACTGGAATACTCCTTGCCTGTCCCTGTTTGCTATCTAAGTGATTCTAGATACATCACATGACAGCTTTGTGGCCAGAAAGTGCCAGGCCAGCTTCTATGGGTCTATGGCCTATGAGAGCGTGGTCACTATTCTGTTACTCTGCACCAGCCTTAACCCTGCTCTGGCCTTTCTTTGTACCACCACAGACCAGGGAACTCTCTCTCTGTCTTTCTCTCTCTCACCCTCTCTGTTCCTCCCCCACACAGACACACACACATATGCACACACGCGTACACACACACACACACACACACACACACACACACACACACACTCTTGCAAGGCCAAAATGTAGTGACTGTCTCCCAGTCCAGATTGGTCCAGCCTTTACTGTGAGAAAACCAGGCCAACTCACTGCCCCGTTCTCCGCCCACAGCCAGCTCACTGCCAGCCCAGCCTGGGCGACCTTGCTGCCCCACGTGACTCTGTTGTTGTCTCTGCCCTAGCAGACCAAACAGAGGCCCAGCACCCTGGGTGTGGGCTCACCTGGGTTACCAGGAGTTCCCCTCTTTGCCAGAGTGAGAGCTGAGAGGGAAACTCGGCAGGGAATTTGGCTGCTTTCTTTCCGGCAGTAATGAGAAGGCAGAGCCCTGTCTGTGAGCCAGCATGCCCACCACCGGAGGTGGGTTTGGGAGAGGTGCTGAACTGCTGATTCTCCCTTCTGTGCAACTGGGACAGGATTGGCCTGGGGCTGCTAAGTCACTCTTATCATAATTAATCAATGCTTGATCGATCAGTGATTCTTTGGGTAATTACTGCACCTCCCCTCCCCCACCCCCACCAGATGATAAGGTTACCCTAGGAGCCCTGAATGACTAGAAGGCACAGACTGGCAAGCAGCCCCTGACCCCTGACCTGAGCCTGCTGGGGAAGGTGGCCACCCACGAGTTGGAGAATTCTCTCAAATATAGCCTGGGGCAATGGCTGGGGCCAAGCCTGGGCTCCCTCTGGTGTTCATAGAATGCTTGAGGCTCAGAGCTGGCAGCACTCTTAGAAACAGACCTGGGTTCAAATCCATCTCAGATACTTCTCCTACCTGATGCCTTGGGCAACCTAGCCTCAGTTTCCTCATTTGTAAAACAAAGGGGCTGGATGAGATGAACCTCCAAAGTCCTTTCCAGCTCTAAACTCGGGTTCTTGCCTGCCTCTCCCCACTGCACTGATGAGAACACTGAGGCCCAGGAGAGTCATGTAGCTCCTCCATGGTCACACCAGTAGGTGAGAGTCCGAGATTCCAGGGCTACTGATCCATCCTACTGGAATGTGGAGCTGGAAAGGGCCTCAAAGACCACCTGGTCTAATCTAGTTTTTCAGAGTGAGAAATTGAGTCCAGGGAACATAAAGCGAGTTCAAATCCCAGCCACCTGTGTGGCTGACTTTGGATAACTCGTTTAAACTCCTTGGACCTCAGTTTGCTCATCTGTAAAATAGGGTTTGGCTAGATAGTATCTGATCTCCTTTTATGACCTTATGATCCTCAGGTAATAGAGGGGGTAAGTTCCAGTGTAGGACTGGAACCCTCATCTCCTTACTCCCAGGCCAGGCCTTTCCCCCAGTACCCTCAGGCCCTCTCTGCTCCCTGTGTGCCAGCAGGGGCCCAGGGAAAAGGAAGCCTGAGCTGGGTGGAGTGCAGGTTAGAGAGTGCTCTCCTGAGCTGGTGAGGTATCAATGCCTTCTTTACCTCCTTATTTCCAGCTGGAGGCTTCCTCCATTCCCTTAGCCGCCCTGGTGGCAGCCACCTAAGAGGTCTTTGTCAAATCCCTTTACTCGTGGAACCCTGGCTCACTGGATTCTCCCTCTGTCTCTCTCTCCCTCCCTCCCATCCTCAATTCCTTTCCCCTTCTCCCCATGCTAACAGACAGACCACTCCTTACGGCCTGGGAAACCCGCCAAGGCGCCGCCGCCGCCGAGCCCTGAGCAGATGTGAGTGTGCCAGCTCCAGAGACCACACCTGTGCCACCTTCTGTCACCTTCCCCAGCCAAGGTGAGGGCCTGCTGCAGGCAGAGACAAACAGCGGAGAGCTCTAGAGGGGAAGGCGGCCCCTGGGCCCCAAAGCTGAGGCAGTGCTGGACTCTGGAAGACTCAAGAGCCAAGAAAGGGGGCTCACTTGGGACTGAGAGCTGAGGTGCCCTTCTGTACTCCAAAGTAGAATCTTCTGTATTTGGCAGCCAGGAGCTGTTCCATCCTCTCGGGCTCACCTCATAGAGGCTGCAGGGTTCTTGTTAATACCCTATTCTGGAAGTAGGGAGCCCGAGCAGAGGGTTAGCCTTAGCAAAGATCAGGCCACCCCTGGGGGAGGTTGGGACCCACCTTCCTCAGCGCTGACTTTCTGGGCTTTTATAGGTAGAGACTGGGGGGATGGAGTTGGGGAGAATGTGGGGAGAGTATGTCAATACCTCCTACCACATCTGATGAGCAGCCTCAGCGGCAAGGGTAGGAATCAGGAGGCCTGGATTGTCATCCCAGCTCCTCCACTTAGCTGTGTGACCTTGGACACATCACCTAACCTCTCTGAGTATCGGCTTCCTTTTCTGTCAAATGAAACTAATAGGCCCTGCCCTGTCTGTCTCACAAAGATGCTGGGAGGAGGAGGGTGCCAATGATAACAATAACAACAACAATGATAATAGTAGCTAGCTAATCCAATAGAGAGAGGGCTGAGTCTGGACTGAGAAAGACCTGGGTTCGAATCCAGCCTCAGATTCACTAGCTCTGTGACCCCTAGGAAAGTCATCCAACTGCTATGTGCCTCAGTTTCCTCAACTGTAAAATAGTGATAATAGCATCTACCTCCCTGGGTTGTTGCGAGGATCAAATGAGATAATATTTGTGAAGTGCTTAGCATAGTGCCTGAAACATAGCAAGTGCTATATAAATGTTATTATTATTATTATTATTATTATTATAGCATTTGTGCAGTACTTTAAGGTTTGCAAAGCACTTTACAAATATTCTCATTTGATCCTCACAGTAGCCCTGGGAGATAGGTGCTGTCACTACTCCCATTTTATAGATAAGGAAACTGAGACTCAGAGGGTAACTTGCCTACATTCACATAGTTTGTCTGAGGCAGGATTTGGACTCGTGTCTTCTTGATTCTAAGTCTAGCACAGTCTCCACTACCCAGTCACACAGATCATCTCTCCTCAGGTACCTGGCTAAGCCAAAGATGCCCTCCCACAGTGGGCCTTCAACAACACCTCTGCTTCCAGATACAAGGGCAGATGCAGGCAGCCGGCTCCTCAGGGCACTACGGTGAGTTCTCATGGCCCCTGCTTGGTGCTGTTCTGGCTGGAACATCTTCAGCTCCACGAGCAGTCTGACTGCTGAGTTTTGGAAAGGTCATTGGGTGTCCAGAGAAGGCAGAGCCAGAGATTAGCCCATAATGGGATTGGATGAAGGAACCAAGGGGTGTTGAGCCTGAGGAAGAGATTTAGAGAGGCCATGAAACTTGTCTTCTAGTATTAGAAGAGCTCTCATATGGAATAATAACAATAATACCTAGCATTTATTTAGCACTTTGAGGTTTGCAAAGTACTTTACAAATATTCTCTTATTTTATCCTCAGAACAACCCTGGGAGGGAAGGACTGTTACTAACTCCCTTTTACAGATGAGAAAACTGAGGCTCAGAGCAGTAAAGTGATTTGCCACAGGTTACACAGTTCTTTAAGTTTCTGAGGCTGGGTTTCAACTCAGGTCTTCCTAACAAACACCAGGTCTAGTGCTTTAGCCGCTAAGCCACCTAGCTACCATGGAAAGTAGATAAGATTTGTTCTGCTTGGTCACAGAGGAAAGAACTAGGAACATCTCCCTTTTGGAGATGGCTTTTCTGTCAACCCTGATTTTTGAGCTATTTCCTCCGCATGCCACAACATTACTTCATGGTATGTACATGTGTATGTGTGTGTATATATTAGTGTATGTATGCACACAAATATGTATATCTATATATACATTTTGTAAATATACACATATGCATGTGTAGATAGAGAGCTGTATATAATATTCACATTTTTGTGTATGGGTTACAGGACTCCCTCGATGATATGTAAGCTCCCTGTAGGAAGGCACTGCCTGGTTTTGTCTTTGTTAGCCCAAGTACCTTCATGATTCTTAGCACAATGCAGGAAGAACAAGAAATCCTTTTTAATTAAATTGAAATGGCAGAGAGGCAGAAACTGGGTCAGTACAACAATTTGTAATAAGTGCTGACCATTTGAGCTGTTCTAAGACTGGGCTGACCCAGGAGATAGTGAGCTCCCCATTTCTGGAGATATTCAAACTATATTTGAATGGCCACTTATTGAGAGCCCTGTAGAGGGGATTAGCCTTCAAATCAGAAGAGTTGGCCTCTGAGATTCTGTGATTCTGTTCAATGACTTGTTCTTTTTCCTTGGCCCTCCTGATCCAGCATTCCCATCACCAATGGGAAAAAGTGAATTCAATTGAATTTAACAAAAATTTATTAGGCTCCTTGAGGACAGGGACTGTCTTTTTGCCTCTTTTTGTATCCTCATAGCTTAGCACAGTGCCTGGCACATGGTAGGAGCTTGATAAATGTTTATTGAACTGAATTACCTACTATGAGCTAGGTGTAGAGACAGCGGTGGTGTATTGGATACAGAACTAGCCTTGGAGTTAAAAAGAGTGTGGTTTGGTCCCACCTCTGATAAATTTTGGCTCTGTGACTCTGGGCAGCTTGCTTAACCTGTCAGTGCCCCCAGACAAGGGGGCTCTAAATTGTAGAGTAATTACTGATCTGTATTGATAGAGGGGGTTTCCTCATCTTGGGGAATCCCTATACCAATGAAATGATACATCCAGTCCAAAAAGGAAAAGAAAATCTAGGCACAAGGGATTAAAAAAAAGAACTTCTATTCTTCAATCCAAATTCCTAAATTTGGCATTCAAGGCCCTCCATTATATGCCCTCAGTCTCTCCAATGTTATCTCCCCTTGTTCGCCTTCTCATACCTTCATGGTGATATTAATGGAGAAAAGGCCCACCTCAAATCCCGGCTCGTGTTCACATAGTTAGGAAATGTCCAGACTCTGACTCAAACCTAGCCCTCCAGTTGTGACACTTAGCCACGTGACCTTTTAACATCCTCTCGGGAAGATTGGGTTCAGACCTCACTGCCCTTCTAGGCCGGTCCTTCTCCCAGGATTAAGTTCATGATATTCTGATTGTACAGTTTCCAGGGCCTGGGTGGACATGTTTCCAGGTCAGCTTCTTTCTGTTTACAGGGACATTGCCAGATCTCAGGCCCACTTTACTCAGTGGCAGCGCAAGTCTCCTAAAGGTTCCAGACCCAATCTGCTGTCTCAGAGGAGGAAGCGATAAAAAAAAAGAAGAAGAAGAGAGCAGCATTGGCCTGAAGAACCCCAGGCTCCCAAGGACTTCCAAGCTCCTGGCCCAGTTAGATGCAGAAAGGAAGAAGTTGGAGGAGCAGTGTGTGGGCATGTGGGAGCATGGAGCCAGGCATAGACGGTGGAGACAATGTTGGACACTGGTCACCCTGGCTCTCCACCTCCAACATGATGCTGCTGCTGGGACCGGCAGGGTCTCGTGGGGACCCTACAATGTCTCACTAAACCTGGGCAACTCTTAGAGGGGTCCATGGTGGACCATGCAAACTCATGGGGTACATACTTGGACAGTTTGGCCTGGAAGCCCAAAGTCAGCCCACCCCAGGTCCGGACTGCGGCAGGAAAGCCTGCCCTGGAGTGTTATTTCTCCTCCTTGCTCTTCTTCCAATGTTTCTCGTCAGCCAAGATGCTTTTCTGCCCTGTGTTCCTTCTTTCATTCCTTCAAAGGACCATATGATATAATGGAGGAAGCACTGCTGTGGAATCAGAGGATCCTGGGTTCAAATCCTGGCTCTGCTACTTGCTAACTGTGTGACTTTTGGGCAAGTTCCATTCCCTCCTTGGCCTCCAGCTTCTTCTGAAACATCAAGGGTGGGGGGTGGAGTTTGGACCAGATAACCTCTAAGGTCCCTTTTAGTCTTAGATCTTCTATCCTACTGAGGACCTACTATGTGCCAGGCTGTACAGTGGGAGACATAGATCTAGGTATGAGACTGTGATCACCAGGAGTGTACTGCCCTCTCTGGTCTAAGCAGAACTTGCTTCCATCCTGATGGATTCAGTCCTAGCTATATGTCTTTATTGAGAGAACAAGAGAGAGAGAGAGAGAGAGAGAGAAAGCAAAAGCATCACAGAGGCTGAATGAAGTCAGATCGGGGAGGTAACTGCAGCATCGGCCCAGAACATGCCTGACACTCACCAGCAGCAGTAACAGCTGCCTATTCTAGGCCCCTTTCCCCCTTCACCAGGGGCAGCTGGTCTCAGCAGAGACTGAACATGAAGCCCAGGGCTGCCCTCTGAGACTCCGTTTAAAGGAATGGAGCCCACATTTCATCCTCTCCATCTGTGTGTTCTTTGAAAAATTTGAAGGAGGCTGGTAGTGCAAAATACTGGGTACCAAAGTCACCCCCCACCCCGAGCCAGGAGGCCTTACTTGTCGAGGCTCCAGTCCATCTGTCATCCATCCATTTCTCCATTTGGCACCTTTGCACAACTCTGTCCCTGTTTTGTCCTCCAAGACTCTGTTACCTTTCCCTGAAACCAAACCAAAGACTGGCATGAAGTAAAAAGTGCCTTATCTCCCTCTGCCTGTATATAAATTATTTGTTACAGAACTACAATCATTCCAAATATTTATTTTTTGTAAATGACTGTATTGTTTACATGAAAACTCTGTTTGTAATAAATAGAAAAATATCTTCCTGGCCTTTCTTGAGGTGAAGAGAGTGGGAGGAGGGAGGGGATTGGTGAAGGAAGGACCTCACCTGGGTTACATTCAGCAAACATTTACTAAGGGCCTCTTGGTGGGCAGGGTTCTGCCTATGCTTGGGCTGAGGGTGGGGGAGGAGAGAGAAGCTGTAGAAGCCTGTCCCTGGGAGCTCAAAATCAGGGATGAGGAGAAAGAATCACTAGGAACCCCTCCCCACTCTCAGGTAAAAGCCATTGGTGGCAGGGCAGGTTATGGTCCACTGTCCAGGGGGCAGCCACCACAGTAGCAGCACAGTACAACTATATCTGCAGTTGTGCCAGGAGAAGGTGGATTGTTGCCAAGAGGCCTATCCTTATCCCAATGGGGGTAAAGGGAGGTAGGTTCCCAGGAGCTGGGTACAGCTATGAACTATGGGATAGGGCTCAGTGAGGGATCTGGGTCACACTGTGAGGCGCAGGCTGAGAGAGGACTCTGAGCTGCTGCTCTTGGCACCTGTGGTCTCGGGAACTCCGCAGGGAAGAAGACATGGGTCTCCTCAATTTTTCCGTGCCCTGGGACAAAGCCCTGGCATCACCTTCCTACTTTTTGACTCTGATGGAGGATGAGACCAGGACATGCCTCACAACAAGATGAGGTAGAATGTGACAGAGAAGTATGTGAGACTGGGATGTGATGGAAAATCCACTGGTGTGGGAGTCAGGAAAACTCAGGGTGATCCTTATCTATTTGGAGCTAGAACTATGTAACCTCGGGAGCCCCATAGTCTACCCTCCCCCTTCTAAAGATGTGGAAACTGAGGTTATGAGAAGTCTGTTGCTGTTTGCTGTCAGAGGACCATGACATCAGGGAGGCGATGCCACAACATGCAAGTGAATTGGATTTAAGTGAGGCAGGGCTGGGCAAAGTCACCAGCCTCACTTTCTCCTCCAGAGACATCTGGGTCCAGTGGCGGGTTATGGATCAAGACAACTGGAGACGGCCCCCAAGAGAAGTTTACGAACTTACCCAAGCCCCCCAGGTAGTAAGTAACTAATGTAGAGCCAGAGTTTGAAGCTAGGCCCTGGGACTGCAGATCAAAGTTCTTTCCATCCAGGCTCTGCCACCCTAGCTTCAAAATAACCTTGGGCAAGTCCTTTCCCCTCTCTGAGCCTCAGTTTCCTCATCTGTAAAATAAGGGGGTTGAATGAGAGGCTCTGTGAGGTTCCTTCTTTCAGCTCTGACAATCTATGAGAGGTACAAACAAAAGCATGTTTTACAAAAGGGAGGAGTCCAGGCAGATTGGCTGCCCAGGGCAGTAGACATTTACACATATTTATACAGTGTTTTCAAGTTCACCGCTTGAAAGTTAGAGTGCAAGCACTCTAATCTGAGAACCAAAAGATTTGGGCTTCAGTCCCAGCATTATCACCAGTTTGTGGTGCGACCTTAAGCAAATTGCTTCTGGAGCCTCCGTTTTCATCACGTGTAAAATAAGGATTCTCCTTACCTCTCCCCGCTCTACTGGCATGCAACATTGAGTAACTCACGGATCAGAGTCACAATGTCACAACATGCTTTATTTCTACCTGAGGGCACACTCCCCTCCCCCCTCTACATGGGGCCCTCCAAAAAGCTCAACCCAGGTGCAAGGCACTCTGTGGGTCTGCAACCACTCAAAAACAATAATTGCTCAGAAGCCCCCACCAAGTGTTTGCTTTTACTAGTCAGCCAGAGAACACAGTTAGAAGTAAAGACTTTTTATGAAATAGCATGGTTAGAAAAGTAGCGATAGAACATTTTCTCCCATAAACCTGAAACACATTGTCCCACAAGTATACATAGTATCCAGGGGCAAAGTCAACATATATCTATGGAGTACATACAGAAGATCGTGCCTGTAATGAACTTACATGGATAGGGTATACCAATAGGAAATACTTATTAAGCACCTAGTGTATTCCAGGCACTGTGCTTTCTAAGGTTCTGTGAGGTTGATCTTAGAGATTCCTTTCAGCTCAACATATCACGGTTGCAGGAAAGGAGATTAAATTCATATTAATTCCACAAATTGCCAAGCAGCCCAGTAAGTGCCGGAGAAGCTACACAGGCAAGATGAAAAACCACCCCCACCCTTGAGGACCATACATTCTACCCAGTAGAAAGGCATGTATTCCAATAAGTAAATACTAAGTCATACAAAGTAATTTTAAGAGAAAGAACTAATAATGGGGAAGATCAAGAAAAGTCCTCATGGAGTCAGAAATGAGTGAGTGAATGAGTGAATGAAATCGAAAGCATTTAAGTGTTTATTACATGCCAAGTCCCAGGTAGCACCTAGGCTGTGTTTTGAAGGAAGTTAAGAATTCTGGGATCTGGAGGGGAGGAGGGAATGCATTGCAGGGCGAGGGAAATACTTATATAAGAATATGGAGGAGGAAGATGGAATGTCATGTTTAAAGAAAAGCTAGTAGTCTCATTTGACAGGACTGGAGAGTGAGCATGTGTAGGGAGCACTACTAAGTGAGACCATGAGGGCATGTGGGAGTCAGAGTGTAGAGTTTCGAATATTAGAGATACGTATAAAAAGATTGCTCAAACACTGTGTGGTGGGTGTGGGCTCAGTTTCTGATGCAGGGTATAGACAGCAAGGGCTCTGGGTGTTCCCAGAAGGGAGAGGTCCCTGAGGGCTGGAGGATCGGGGAATCTTAGAAGAGATAACACTTGATCTGGGACTTGAGAGGATGTGGGATGGAGGTGTCAAGGAGTCAAAGAAGAAGACAGACGTGGGAGGGACTTCCAAGTAGGCAGAGCCGCATAAGCCAGTTTGTGTTCTGGGGTCCAGGAGGACTCCAGAGAGACCAGTCCAGGGAGGGGAAGAACAGGAGATAAGGCTTGATAGATTGGTTAGGGTGAGTCTAGGAGGACCTGGAATCCTTCCTGTTTCTGTATTAAAGACTCAAGCCTAGATGTGCTCTTCTGACCTGAATCCAATTCCTAGAAGACAGTAGTAATATTCAATGACTCAGAATAATACTAGAGCAAGAAAGCACCTTAGAAGTCATCATCATCATCATCACTATAACATTTATATAGCACCTACTATGTGACAGGCACTGCACTTTATAATTATTATCTCATTTTATCCTCAAGACAACCCTGGGAGGTAGGTGCTGTTATTATCCCCATTTTACAGTTGAGGAAACTGAGGTTAAGTGACTTGCCCAGGGTCACACAGCTAGCACATTATCTGAGGCCAGTTTTGAATTCAGGTCCTCCTGACTGCAAACCTAACATTACCTACCTCTTTTTGGCTCTTCATCTTAATCCATTGAAAAGAGAAGGAAACTAAGACAGAGAGAAGGGAAAGGACTCAGCAATCCAATAGCTGAGCGAGGCCTTGAACCCAGGTCCCCTGATTCCAAATCCTGTGTGTGTGGGGTGTGTGTGTGTGTGTGTGTGTGTGTGTGTGTGTGTGTGTGTGTGTACATGTGCGTGCACACCCCTATGTATACTTTCAGATGGATACCTGACTAATTTGGAGAAATGGCTCTATAAACCAAGTTGAAATTCAGCAGTGCTGAGTACTAGGGGTCATACTTAGGGGTCCGAGGATCTGAGGCTCCAAAGGCAAGATTCTAGAAGGCAGACTAGACACAGTAGGTGGCACTACTGTATAGCAGGAGCCCAAGGCTTGGCATCAGGATTCAAATCCTGCCTCTGCTCTACTAGCTATGTGACTATATATAAGACACTGAATCCCTCTGTGGCTCATTTTCCTCATCTGTAAAATGGGAATGATAATATTGCACCTACCTCCCAGGGCTGTTGTGAAACACAAATGAGATAATGAGGTAATAAAAAGCACTTTGCCAACTCTAAAGGGCCATATAAATGCCAGTTATCACTTCTCAAGAACAGGACTCGGGGTCCTAGTTGACCACTTGTGGTCTATGAGTCAGTGATGTGGTTCCCTTGGTGGGGAAAGCCAGCATGATTCTGGGATGAAGTAAGAGGTGCTATCCCTCATGTCCTCTATGAGTCAGACCTTAATAGTCTTTCGGTCACTGGCTGAGCTTTGGAAAGGACTCTGAGGAGCTGGGGCGGCTCCAGAGAGGATGAGCAGGGATGATTAAAGGGACTGAAAAATGGGTCTTGGGAAGAAAGTAGAAGAGAACCCTCGGGCTGTTTTGCCTGGAGAAGAGGTGGTGGTGGAGGAAAGGTGACTCACTAACTTCCAGCCTCTCAGCTACTCCCTTCATTTGGAAGGCAGTGAGTCCTCAAGCTCACCTAGGGGCCCCCCAGGTGTTCCAGGGCCCGAGGGAAGAGCCCACCAACTAAAGGTTTCCTTAAGGAGGAGGCCAAGCTGATGCTCCCTCATGGGAAGCCAAAGAGAAGGGGAAGTGGGTTTTAATTAAAAGTCGCACTGAGAAGTCTGTTCTAGGTGGCCATATCAGAATGGGCCCCTCAGGGACTTCCTAGGATCTCCCTTCCTAAGGAAAAGCAATGCGGTGTGGTCAGGCAACAAACATTCATTTTAAAAAAGGGGTGGGTTTTTTTTTTTAGTTTTTAGTTCCATGCCATAATACATGTATATATACATATATACATATATATGTGTGTGTGCGTGTATATATATAATATATATACACATGTATTATGTATATACATGTATACATGTATACATAATACATGTATATATATATTATATATATACACGCACACACACATATATATGTATATATGTATATATAT